CTCACCTTCATCAGACCTGATGTTCGGTTCCCTCCATGTCAGAATGAGTTAGTTTGATCTGACAATTTAGAATACCAACAGTGCTTAATGTGGACCAGAAATAATATCTGACAGGCTGCCCTTCTGCTGGGCTCTTAATGAGCAATTTGAGGTGTTAATAGCTTAGAGACTGTCTTCATTTCCAGCTCTGCCACCGAGGACCACATGATGTCTGCCGAGGGACCCAGAGAGAGTACAGTACTGCTTAATTAACATGCAGAGCAGAAAAGGGAGCTGTCGTAACGTCCACAAGCGCTAACGAGCCAGCAAAGGGGCTACGCCAAACCCTTTGGAGCAGAGGCTGCTATCGTGCCAAGTGCTTGGGACCCTAGACTGAAATGGACTCAGCAGAGCTGGGTGGCTCAGCACCCGCCGGAGGAACCAGCACCTGAAGGCTCAGGTCCAAGCAAAGCCAGTTCAGGTGGATAGCATAATTAAAAGCTGAAAACTGATTCAGTGTTCAACATTTCCAAAACCCTAAATCGGTTCTCAAAAAATAAGAGTAAAGAGAAACAGGCAACCAGCCAACAAGTGGCCCCAGAGGAAATTAATTCCACACAGGCTTCGCTGTAATGCGCTTGTTTCTCTGTTATTATAAAATATATGCATTGTTCTATCATCAAAATTAGATTTTCCCTTTAGCTTGTAATTAAACCCTAATCTAATTTACCAGGAGTGGACAGGGGCCTCCAAGCAGAGCTTACAGCCCTGCTCCCCTTTCCCTGCCCACCTCCCTCCACCTGCTTTTGCAGGCTTTCTTCTGCATTTTAGGGTCTGTTCCCGAAGGCATCGTGCATCGAGAAGGGCCACGCTAAAGACTTCTTGTTACCTGGTAAGACCCAGCTGCGAGAGGGCTTCTCCTCCAAGCTCTCCCCATAGCCTTAGCTAATTTCCAGTTCCCAATAGGTCATCTCCTCTGAGCCAGATCCCAACTCCCTAAACAAAACTGTTTATTGATGATCTCTATTATTGGTAATAGCTGCACTTTGATGCACAATGGTTAACTTTGCTTGGTTTCCTAGGGCATTATGGAAAAACCATTTGCTACTGTAATTAAAACTGCCCAGACTGGACTTCTGTACTATGCAGAGAGGCCACAGCAGGATGAACTGCTAGAAATGTGTTCACAGACGTGCTCCAGCACAACTGCGAGATTGCTCTTGGGCTTGGAAACCACAGACCAGCGCAGGACGGCCCTGCTACCTGGGGATGCTCAGACAAGTGCTCCCACCAACATCTACAGCCACACCTAAAGCCGCAGCAGAACCTGCTGTTTCACTGCAAAACACCAAATAGCTGGCTCGTGAACGTGATGTGCTGTGATGAAGACTCACTTCACCAAGGTGGTGCTTGCCTCAGGCCATGAAGGCCTGGGAAAGCAGCTAGGCACACCAGCTTCCCTTGCCAGGGGAACCAGTACAGGGGCCACAGCAAAGCAGCAGCAAGAGACTGGGACAGCAGCTCATTGCTCTGGTGGCAGTGCCTGTGTAGGTTCTCAGTACAAAATGACAACAAACAGGGTTGGCAGGGAAGGAAAAGAGGTCATGTTATCTATCTGCTTCTCCCAGTACCTACGCACAGGTTTGTAGCTCCAGAAATAAAGCAGGACTCCAGGTTATGGGCTATGTAAAATGCGTTCGTAGTATCTTATAGCCCCAGCTTGGCTGGAGATCTTTGTTTCCGCCCCAGCATCAAACCGGTGCAGATCACCTATTCCCTGAGCGTCCAAGCCCGACCACGGCTGGCAGGCGTTATTTCCGCAAGGGAAAGCCGAAAGCAATTTGTCAGACCCTAGACAAACAGCCTTGGTCTTTGTAAAGCACAAACGGGACACAAGGAAGGAGAAGAGCTCCAAGGAGAGGACAATGGTGCACATACCTCATCTGGCTGCCTGTCAGGAACGACCACTGGTACCGGACTGGAAGCGGGCTGCAGTTGGTCATCTCGACGTAGCGCACATCTTCAGTGTCATTCAAGACGCAGCCAAAGTCCAGGGCCATGGTCTGGAAACGGAGATTCGGGAAGTAGACTTCTCCCCGAATGGTGACCTGCTCCTCATGGGGATGCTCAAGAAACTGTATCTTCAGAGCCTTCTCTGCTACCCGGCTACTCAAATCCTCTTCATAAGCAGGGTTAAATCTGATGGAGAGATGAAGTTCCGCCCCTACCTCCAGCTTCATGGGCTGCAAGCAGATGAAGAGTATTAATCACCAGTGTGATGAAGTCCCAAGGTCCGACAGTATGAAACATGTAAATGTTCCAAGTGTGACCCCAGCGTAGGCCTCTTCGTTCATCCTTCATTTTCTTTACAGCATGCAAGCACCACAACACTCTTGTCAGACTATCTCAGGCTCATGTATCTGTGCTCCACATCAATACAGCGGGAAATAAACATTGTTCTACTGAATTCTGGACCCACAAAAGCTTTTTGCTAAATACTCCACCAAAACAGCACTCTGGCACGCCGGGACCTTTTGCCCTGACTCTAGAGGAACTCCTTGACCCTCACAGCACAAGCGACACAGCATTGCAGCCTCACCTTCCAGGAGGTAGTCACCAGCATGGAGCTGGCAGCCGTGCCTACAACACCACAAATTTAGCAGTGTCCATGTCCAACACCTTCCACCAAGAACAGGGCAGGTGCCAGGCAGAGGTTGGAAGAGCATCCTCCGCCTTCCTGAAAGCGGGGCTTGAAGAGGACAAGCTGCTCTTTATGTTGTCCAAGGATGGCTGCTGAAGAGCTGTGATGGCTTCCAGCAGACATCTTTGCTACATGGCTTGCCCAGACCTAGTTGCCTGCTCGCCTCTCCTCACATCCTCGAGCCAGGATGCATATCCCCAATTCAGATAATATTGCCTTTCCTTCAGCAGCTCATTCCGAATCTGATTTAGTTCAGGCCAGTCTACTGCCAACTCTAAAGAATCAACTTCTCTGCTAGAGGATCTCCCCACAGAATTGTACCACCACACTCCTCCTCCTTCAAACCCCACCAGGAGGAAGGTCCCCAGCTGCTCACCTGAACATCTGCAGAGAGGGGCTGCTGGTCTGCATCACAAATTAAGAAGGGTTGCTCCAAAGCCAGGACAACGCTGACTGGCAGGGAGGAGATGTTTTTTAAAGCAAGAGGCTTGTACTGAAGAGTTAGGACATCGCTAGGTTGCTACAGAAACAGGAGACAAGAAAAAAAAGCCACCTGAAGTAGCCATGGACCTCCTTCCCCTTCTGATGCATTTTGAGCTATTCAACCCCAAAAGCTCATACATCTCTATTTACCATTTTTATTAGTTTCTACCCTTCTAGAAGGTTTTTCTCTAAATACATCAGATGCTTTTTGTGTTTAGAAACTACAGCATTGCCTGGGGGACAAGGAAACTGTCTGGTGTATAGATGAAGGAACAGGACCCCGAGAGCAGGCAGCTGCCTGAACAAGATCAGAACCAGAAAGCGAACCCAGACCATTTGTCTCCAGCTTCGTATCCACTCTTGGGCAGCATGGCACAAGACGTTTTTAACTCCCGTGCAGTAATTTCTTACAACCTTATCAGCTCTAGCAGCCTCACAAAAGCAGGGAGGCCAGTCCAAGGAGAAAAGCAAGCAGGATTTAGCCTGCAGTGGAGAGCTCGCAGCATCCTAAGGTTCACTTTGAATGCTTACGTGCACGTACAGCCAGCTAGAAACCTCGACAGCCTGGTTGCAACGTGTCTCCTGCTGCCTTCGCCACAGTGACAAGGTGCCTGGAGCCTCAAAGTTAAGCTCAGCCTCAGCTATTTCTTCCTGTTTATGCATTGCTCTGGGCCTCCTGCGTGGTTTATATAAACTAGACAGTGTTTGGGAAACTGGTGCTGGGTGTATTGATGTCAAACAGCTGCAGTGTTGTAGCACTCAATAAATTGGAGCGCGCAGCATCAAGCAGACCACAGGCAGACATCAGGGACAGCTGAAAAGCTTCTCATTAAATCTGAACCGCCTGCTCACAGGATTTTGGGCTTCTCTGTATGCCTGGGAACTGGAGCAGAGACCTGAAACCACAGAAACTAAATAATGAAATCTCTTCTCTTTTTCAGACACCTCACGGGAGAGGGAAAGATGATGCAGAAGTCGGGATCCAGAGATTAAGGGGCACCAGCTTTGCGCTGGTGTTATCATCACTGCAGCTGAAGGACGCCGGCGGGTCCTTTGAAGGAGGTGAGGCTAGGGGAAATGCAGAGAGCTAGCATCCACACCAACAGCAGAGAACGCAAAGAGAGACAAGAGACACCAGTTTTCCCTCATCAGCCTGAGGAGTTGACAGCAACCTCCGTTTTGCTCGGTTTCCCTCCAGGATCCATGTTCAGATTTCACTGTGCCTTGGAGGATCCTCAAAAGTCTCCCTTTATACCAAGTACAGAAACCAGTGTCTCTATAGAAGTGGCCATGATCCCCCTCGGTGGAGCAGCTGTAATCCCAATTCTACTTCGGTGAAGTTAAAACACAGCTCCATCTCTAAAAACATCCTCACTTATATTACAAAGCACCTCTGGACAGGCGAGGAGGGGGTTTTGCATCACTCGGCCGCAACGACCTGCTCTCCCACCTGCAGCCCTGGCACACAAGGTGGCTGTGCAAAGCCCACGCTGGTCTCGTAGGTCCCACAGGTCTCACCCCGAGCCCACGGCTCGGCTCAGCAGCTCAATTCTGCCTCCGTATCAAGAAAGGCAGAATAGACTTGGTGAGACTGTCCCCAACCCCAGAAGAGTGAAATAATGATCTTGGTGTTAATGGCAAAATCTTGGTCCCACCTATACCGACAGCCAAAGCCCCGAGGACTTGGAGAAGATATTTAACTTCCTTCTTTCAACACAAGCACACACACTCCATGGGCTTTCAATCCTCAGCCACACTATTAAATCATAGAATCATTAAGATTGGAAAAGACCTCCAAGATCATCAAGCCCAACCATCACCCCAACCCCACCACGCCTGCTAAACCAGGTCCCAGAGTGCCACATCTGCACATTTTTTGAACCCCTCCAGGGATGGGGACTCCCCCACTGCCCGGGGCAGCCTGTTCCAAGGCTTCACAACTCTTTCAGTAAAGAAATTTTTCCTGATCTCCAATCTAAAACTCCCCTGATGCAGCTTGAGGCCATTTCCATGCCAGGATGCACTCCAGAGACTTACCTTCTCCACCCGGAAGGTGATTTCTCTGGAGGACATTTGCAGCAGGGGAGTGACGAACTCACAGGTGACATCCACTTGCATTATCTGTGTCTTCCTCGCCTTGCTCCCCACGACGGCGTGGCACAGCAGCCGCTCTGTCACCACCTGCGTGCAAGAACCTCTCATCACCCAGTGTGTGCTAGCAGGGCGTACAGAAAACACGCTGCGTTTGCCAGCCGCCTGACTGTGGACACAAAGGATTTTGATAACCTGGGTCAAAATTGTGCCGTGGTATCTTGGCCATCAACCACCAGCAGGTATTACTGCCATGAACTTATGGTCACTGGTCTCCCCAACAGCCCCCTTTCCTTATCATTCTGCACCCTGTTTATCATGCACTCAAATGTCCGTACTGCTACACCCCATCACCCACAAAAAGGCACTCGTGAGTCATCTGCTGTCTACAATTATAATAATTACTGCCCCAAATGATTTATGTTTTGATGTGCCCCATTGATAAGCCTCATACTTACAGAAAGCTGTAGGAACTGATTAAAAAAACCCAACTATACCAGGGGAAACGGGTGATCAATGCCAGCAAAACCATCCTTGGAAGCTTAGTGGAAAGGATCCCTGGGCAAAAGCCTGCCCTCAGGTAAAGAGGGGGTCACTCATCCTAGGAGGTACTGTGCCCTCCTAGAGCCGGTTTTAAAAGAAACTTCCCCAGGAAAGAGGTGTCTTGCACTTCACACGAAAACCCTCTGCTTAAGCTGGATGCTCTTACGATCAAGAGTTTTTCCTGACTTCTTGTGGTTTCTCTTCCCCAAATTACTCTCTTCATTGCTCACACTTCCCTCCGACACAACACCCCGACCCAGCTCCCCCTCCCAGCCTACAGCCTTCGAAGCCATCTGTGCCACACGCGCAACGCAGGGAGCTGGGCTTCTGACCGACCCAAAGAGTATGAAGCTCTCAAGACCCACAGAAGGTGGGCAGCCCATCCCAGGCTCTCAGCTTTGACTCCACGAGCTGGGTAGCCACAGCTGTGCTCACAGATGCCCTTTCATCTCTCCAGGCAAGACAACCTCACCAGTGCCCTGAGCATTTTCTCCCCTCTTCAGCAAAACCTTTGGGCTCCAAAGTGCACAGGGACAGTCTCATCACAGTCAGCTAGGTGAGTAATCAAGTCTTCCTCAAGCTACCACTGAGGCAACCCTTTAAAACACCTTTCAAAGCACTAATATCAGCAGGGGCTTAATACAGATTTATTGCACGTTTGCTTAAATATCTGTGCCCAGTGGTCCTGGATCCAGGGGATGCACACTAGGGTTAGCTGGCAGCTTCTCCGCAGAGTTGGATTTCCCCTGGAAAGAAGGGGCCAGGGAGGAGAACACTCAGTGATCCTACTGAAATCCCCCCCTCCGAGCTGCCACCAAGGGTGCTGTAAGACCTGGCTGCCCTCAGGCCATTGAGGCTGGCTGAGAGACCGGGGAGCGCTGTTATGGAAATATCGACAAAAGTCAAGCTGTCAATTGTAATGATCCCTGGGAACCGTTTCCCACGTGAAGAACGTCACTCCGATTGTTAAAGCTGGCACACTGTGTTTGTTATTCTCCTCCTGGACTCTGTGCTTGACGAGCCCCCTGCTCATGTTTGTCTATAGAGCAAAGACGATTCTGCTCCTGGACACCCCCTCCCTTCACAGTGTTTTGTCTTACTCACTGCTCCCCCAGATACATTACTTGGCATTTTTTTATTTACTTTCTGCCTGTGCTCCTAGTCTGAGTACAACTTATCACAGAATCACAGAATGTTAGGGGTTGGAAGGGACCTCTGTGGG